CGTCCCTGCAATTTTTTGCCCAGCTTGGGGTTCAAGTTGGGCATGGGTGAAGTACTACTAGTTCTTCCGTTCATTTTTTGGTGCTTCTCAGTTATCAGTTGCTTGTCTAGCCATATAGCCCTCAACTTAGGCTATTGTTACCGCAACTTCGACGCGTAGTGGTTATATGGCATGATTGCGCAGCAATTGTGCCGTTAAGATCGCCCTCTCGTCGCCTCCTATCGGCCTCTCGCCGCCTCCGTCCCGACGTCGCCCTCGCTATCTCCCGTCGCAGCCCTCCCCTCAGTTTGCGTCGCCTCACTATCTCTTCCCTCCCATCCTGTTGCCTCGCTATCTCTCCCCTCCCATCCCGCACGCCTTTCTCTCCCATCACCCGTCTTCTCTCCCTTCGCCCTCCCCTCCTGGCGCCTTTCCCTCCCGTCGCCTTTCCGCTCCCGTGGGGGGTAGTGTAAGGAGTTTTCCTAATTCCTTACTAAGGCACTCCGTACGCGTACAATTCCAACTTTTCAGAGTTCAGGCTCAGTCTGACGACCTCGCCTTCCGAACGTCCCTCGCGTCGCCTTCGGGTTTCCCAAAACCCAAACCTGCACCCAACCATCTCGCGACTCTGCGACCTTGGCCTAGCTAGCCTTGCTATATTATGCCTAGGCCTCGTTGTTTGCTCAGTAGTTGTAATCACTTCTGCGATATTGCATTCTGCGTACTCTTCTTTCGTACAGCTCATAACAGGCGGGCTGGTTAGGCTTTTCATTCCGAAAGTTGGGGTTGTATTCTATGGGATGCAGTAAAAAGTGGATTCCAACAAACTGGTATCAGAGAGTGAGATACCTTTGTCAAATTATACGTTAACTGCTATCTAGGTTGTAGTGGGTTTAGCCTTAGGGGGTACAGTAAGTTGCTCGACACTTCATTGTATCCCCCTCCTTGCCCTAATCCATCTCATTCCTACCTATCTCAACATGGTATTAAGAGCCATTAGGTCGTTAGGACCAGATTTTCAAAAGGGCCCACCATTAAGTTTTCGATTTCCTGCCTGAATCGCGCCCCTAGGCACGTCACTTTTTTTTTCCTGCCTGAATCGCGACCTTAGGCACGTCGATTTTCTGCCCGAATCGCGCCCCTAGGCACGTCGGTTTTCCTGCCCAAATTGCGCCCCTAGAAGCGATGGTTTTCCTGCCCGAATCGCAACCTTAGGCACAACAAATTTCTGCCCGTATCGCGCCCGTAGGCGCGTCGATTTTCCTGCCCTTCCAGCGTGCGCCTGCCCTGCAAACGCTACCCACGCGCTGCTGTCCTGCCCTGCCCTACGCGCTGTCCTGCGCCGCCTGCGAGCGCCTGCCCTGCGCTCTGCCAGCGACCCGCACCCGTGCTAGTCCTGCCCTGCCCTACGCGCTGCCCTGTGCCGCCCACGAGCGCCTGCCCTGCGCCCTGCCAGCGACCCGCACTAGCGCTAGCCCACCCCTACCCATCATCCCGCGCGCTGCTTTGCCCTGCTGCCCTGCAGCCCGCGCGACGCCCTGCCCTGCAGCGCGCGCGCTGCTCTGCCCGTGCACCCGCTGCCAGCGCCCTGCCAGCTGCTGTGCCCGCGCGCTGCTTGCACAGCCAGTGCGCTGCCCGCGCACTGTCTGCGCCGCCTGCGCGCGCCTTGCCTGCGCTGCAGCTGCTGCTAAGCTACTGCTGCCGCTTGCCTCGAGCGTGCCCTGCCCTGCCGTGGGCTCCCTCGCTGCTGCTGCGCTGCTGCTGCCGCCTGCGCTGTTGCTACTGCTGCGCTGCTGCTACCACTGCTCTACTGCTGCTGCCGCCTGCGCTGCTGCTAGGCTGCTGCTGCCGCCTGAGTTGCTGCTGCCGCCTGCGCTGCTGCTGCCGCCTGCGCTGCTGCTGCCACCTGTGCTACTACTGCTGCGCTGCTGCTGCTGCTGCTCAGTTGCTGCTGCTGCTAGTTTGCTGCTGCCGCATGAGCTGCTGCTGCCGCCTGCGCTGCTGCTGCCGCCTGCGCTGCTGCTGCCGCCTGTGCTGCTACTGCTGCGCTGCTGCTGCTGCTCAGCTGCTGCTGCCACCTGTGCTGCTGCTGCTGCGCTACTGCTGCTGCCGCCTGCGCTGCTGCTACTGCTGCGCTGCTACTACTGCTCAGCTGCTGCTGCTGCTGCTAGGCTGCTGCTGCCGCCTGAGCTGCTGCTGCCGCCTGCGCTGCTGCTGCCACCTGTGCTGGTGCTGCTGCTAAGCTGCTGCCCAGTCTACGCTGCTGCTCCCGTCTGCGCTGCTGCTCCCGTCTGCGCTGCTGCTGCTGCTGCTGCTGCTGCTAGGCTGCTGCTGCCGCCTGAGCTGCTGCTGCTGCCGCCTGCGTTGCTGCTGCCGCCTGCGCTGCTGCTGCCACCTGTACTGCTACTGCTGCGCTGCTGCTGCTACTCAGCTGCTGCTGCCACCTGTGCTGCTGCTGTTGCTAGGCTGCTGCTGCCGCCTGAGCTGCTGCTGCTGCCTGCGCTACTGCTGCCACCTGTGCTGCTGCTGCTGCGCTGGTGCTGCTGCTAAGCTGCTGCTCCTGCCTGCGCTACTGCTGCTGCTGCTGCTAGGCTGCTGCTGCCGTCTGATCTGCTGCTGCCACTTGCGCTGCTGCTGCCACATGTGCTGCCGCTGCTGCCGTAACAGCCGCTCCTGGTGCTTGCTGTCGTTCCTGCTGCTATGGCGACTCCCACTGTTCTAGCCTTTGACACAGTGGGGCACCCTCTAGGGTTCGACTCCTGGCTAGAGGGGCTGCACCTGTACCTCCATAGTGTCACTCGCGACGACATCTCACTGTTCAAGCACACGTCGGGGTCTCTTCAGGCCCCCAAGGCTCTTGCTGAGCCTACTGCTGACGCTGGGGAGGAGGTGCGGACGCAGTTCCGCGCAGCTCACATTGCCTACAAGCGGTGGATGGCGCGAGACGCCACCGCCACACTTGCAGTCCGCCTTCACCTCTCGTTCGACCAGAGAGCCAACTTTCGCCAGGTGCCGTCGGCCCATGCTATGTATTGAGCTGTGGTTAGGCGCTACTTCCCCCCCCCCCCTCCTGCAGTCCTAGGCTGTCTTGCGCTGCCTCTTAACTTCCCTGCGCTGTTAGAACTCATCACTGTAGCTAACGAGGGTGGTCGTAGTGGAGCTGGCGGGAGTGGCGGGGGCGGCCACCAGGAGTTAGAGCCTTCGTGTGTCGCTGCTTGTGCGCCTACTAGCACAGTCTACGCGCACCCCTCCACTGTTCTCTCGTGTCTCGTAGTCCCGTCTGCCTCCTCTGGCTCGACCGAGGGGGGTGACCCTACTGCTGCCGACACAAAGACCCCTCGCTGCTCGTCGCGCTTGGAAACACCTCCGGGTTTTCCGCCTCTGACGTCTTCGCCTCCTCTACAGCCTGTCGCTGCGGACTTCGGGGGCCCAGGTGTTGTTGGGGGTGGTGACGCTGGGGGTGCTGGTTCTGGGGGTGCTGCCTCTGGGGGTGCTAGGAGTCCTCTTGTTGGTGGAGTTGGAGGTACTGGTGCTTGAGGTACTGGCGCTGGAGGTGCTGGGTCTGGGGGTGCGTTGCAGTCGCTGCCGCGGCGGCCTATCTTCTTGGAGCAGCCGTCGTCGTCGCTACCTGAGCCGACGCCCACTTGTACTACTCCTCCTCTGTTGTTTCCGCCGCCTGACTCCCCACTGCCTGCTCCTGCTCGATACGTCCCGTTGTCCGTCTCCCTGACTGGGCGTCGGGAGCCTGTGTCTTGTGCCGCCTCCCTTGCTCCCTCTCGTGTTACTCGGGAGCCTGTTGTCCTGCCGTTGCCTCCCCCGTCTTCTCTTCCTGCTGCACCTGCTTCTTCGCCTGCCGAGCTGAGCTCGCAGGCTTTGCCGCTACTTGCCACCGTGCCTACCTTGCTGGTCTCGTTTCTGCCTCTTCGTGTCCTCCGTCCGTCAGGGGTGAGCTTGCTCTTGGCTGTGACGTCCTTGAGGACAGGCAGTTCGAGCTGGAGTACCTGCCGTACCCTCTCAGCATCCGGACTCGCTACGTGGCGCCTGGGAGACACCACCCTGCGCATTGGCGGGCTGCTAGGAGGGTGTTGCGCTACCTGGCCAGACTAGCGAGCAGAACGTAGCACTTTGCACTTCGTTCCTTTGTCGTGCGAGTGTTGCAGCAGCGTTCCCAGCTTCGCCTTTGTACGTGGCCACACGGGCCAACACTGCTTGTCTCTTGACCTTGTCTTGTACTTCGATATAATAACCTGCATGTTTCTGGTTGTTAGGTTGTAATCATTGTACTGCTTGCTTCATTATAAAACTGCATGTGAACTGGCCTTGTGGCCGCTTGCTAGTGCTCAGAGTGCGTGGTGATCTTGAGATCCACCCTGAGCTTGCTTTGCTTTGTTCCTTCTCTTGACTGGTCTTGTGACCGCTTGTTGTGTTTGCTATCCCCCACTTCGCCTATGGGGATGTGTCAAATTATATGTTTACTGCTATCTAGGCTATAGTGGGTTTAGCCTTAGGGGGTATAGTAAGTTGCTCGACACTTCTTTGTATCCCCCTCCTTGCCCTAATCCATCTCATTCTTTCCTACCTATCTCAACAACCTTATGGTTTGCACTTCTCCATACATACTCTATTTCTCAAGGGAAAATGTTATGGACACATGCATTTAGGGCCTAGGCTAATGGAAGAAAGACCACCCGCCCACCATGGTTCCCTAGCAAACTGTCGGTCACACATCCAGGTCCACCCCGGTGCACCTCCTAGTGTTCTTTGACAGAGTGAACGAAGCAGAAGTCATCATGAACCAGCAAAGAAAAAGGAAAGCGAAAAAAAGAGCGGGAGATAGAGAAAAAGGAGCACAATGTGTGCCACCAGCTGTCGCAAAACGAGGCACTTGAATGAAGAATGACTGACTGGTGTTGTCTCTTCTTCCAAGAGACAGGCACAAATTGAGGGACCCCTGGAGAGGCCTTCATTCCAGTCATCTCTTGACTAACAAGTCATCTTGTGGTCCCTTCATTACTATCCCATCACACGGAGCAGCTCACCCTCCCCTTGGACTTCACCCCCCCTCTCTGACCCAGCACCTGTGCCCATCCCCCATCATCTTCCTCCTCACCACCCACAGTAGCCCCAGCTGTAGCAGCAACTCGAGAAGCAGCTGTAGCAGCACCTGCTGCTTGCACACCCACACGCTCACCATCCTTCCCAACCCCCAACCCACCATGCCTCTGCCCCCTGTTCCCTTCTCCCTTACCATGCTCCCCCTCTCCTCCCGCCCCACGCACCACCCCACTAATGCTCGTCCTGCGTCTCTCCCGGCTCCCACCGCTGTTCCCCACGCTCTTGCTCTTCGCACCAAACGCACCCCCACCCGGCCAACCGGACAGCGACACCCGGCGGTTGCTCCTCCCTCCTCCCTCCCCTCCCTTCCCCTCCTCCAGAAGCTTCCACGCATCGATCCCTGCTCCCTCCCCCTCCTCTTCCTCTTCCTCCTCATCCTCCTCCTCATCCTCATCCCACTCCTCCTCCTCAGTGAAATCCCCCTGCACACCCTTTCCCGTTCCGACCGCCGGCCCCTCCCCACCCGTCGCCTTCTCCTGCTTCCCCGTCGGCCCCTTTCCCTCGCCCTTCTTCCTTCGAGCTGCCTTCCACAGCTTCCTCACAGCCTTGCTCCAAGGGTCCTTGCCACCACCTCTGCCGCTGTTGGTTGTGGTGGTGGTGGTGGTGCTGTTGCCAATGGTGCTACTTAGTGCAGTCTTGGCACGATGCTTGCTTGAAACAAAATGAAGGTCCAAGGTGGTGAGGGCGTCGGGTTTAGCAGAGGTAGTAGCAGCAGCGGCGGCGGCAGCGGCGGGGGCAGCGGCGGCAGCAGCAGCACCAGGATTGGGATCATTCGAACCATCAACCTCACCTGCAGCAGCAACACCAACACCAACACCACCAGCACCAGCAGCTGCGGCACCAGCAGAATTTGCAGCCAGGTTGTTGGCACTGCTGCTCTTACCCATACCTCCGAGCCTTGCCCAGCCTGAGAGCGAGGCTCGGCGCTGCAGCTTACCCGGGGAGAAGAGCGAACCAGTGGGGGAGAAGAGGTGCTGAGTGCCAGGAGGGGTGGACGCTACTGGACTACCAGCAGCAACAGCGGCAGCACTAGCAGCAGCACCAGCAGCAGCGGCAGCACCACCAGCAGCACCACCAGCAGCACCACGAGCAGCACCACCAGCAGCACCACCAGCTGCAGCAGCAGCAGCGGCCCCTTTAATAGCAATGCCACCTGTGTTACTCTTTGTTAGCGGTGGCTGCTGCTCCCCCTCCTCCTCCTTCCCTCCCCTGCCTCCCATAAACAGCTGCTGCTGCATCTGCGGTTGCATCTGAAGCCTCTGTTGCATTTTCTCCTGAGGAATCTCCTGGGCGTTTGGCACCTTCTGCGAGTGCGGGGCCACAAAGGCGTTCCAGGAGTCTCTAGAAAAGACGCGGGGCACATGCTGGGACTGGCTCAGTGGAGCGCTGTTCCATGCATCATGCACACCATCACTCGTACCATCACTCATACCATCACCCACACTACCCATGCCATCACCCATATTACCCATGCCATCTACATTAGGGTCCCTTTTGGGATTTCTGAGGAGAGGACCAGATACTCGAGAGGAGAAGCGGGGGAGGTGCTGGGACTGGCTTATGGTTGCACTGTTCCAGGCGTCGTGCATGCCATCACCCGTACCATCATCCGAACCAACATCCGAACCAGCATGCATGCGGTTACTGCTTGAGTGGTTACCAGTTGAGAAGCTGCTACTGCTGGGCTGTCGGCTAAGAGGGTTGTTCCCTGCTGCTGCCGCCCACATTCCCATCAGCCCCCCTCCTGCACCACCTGCACCACCCGCAGCAGCAGCAGCAGCAGCACTGCCACCACTTTCCCCACTGCCCCTCCCCCCTCCTTCCCTCTCCCCCTTACCCTCCACCCTCCCCTCTCCCCTCATCCTCCCCTCCTCTCTCGCCCTCCCCTCCTCTCTCGACCTTCCCAGCAGCGTGCTTAGAGCCCCCACACTCGCACTCCTCCCACCAGCACCAAAGGGGCGAGATGGGCTGCCCTCCCTGCTGCTGCCGCCACCACTACTACCACCACTCTCAACCCCGCTGCGGCCCTGCTTGACACTCACCACCACCCCAACACTGCTGCCAGCGCGACTCAATGTGCTCCGAGCAAAGACCGTGGTGGTGGCAGCAGGGTGCATGGGGGGTTGCATGGGCGCGTAGGGAGGGCGAGATGAGGTGAGGAGGGAGGAAGGGGGTGCAGAAGGGTGGTTTGGTGGGGATGCATTGGGATGGGACCCCCATGGGGGCTGTGGCTGCTGCTGCTGCTGCTGCTGCTGCTGGCGGTGGTGGTGGTGCTGCTGCTGTTGCTGCTGCTTCTCTAGCTCTTGCTCTTGCTTCTCTCGCTCTTGCTCTGGCTCGTAGTCTGGAAAAGGCGACCGCGGCCGGGTAATTACCTCCGAAGGCGCGTGGGGTGAAGAAGAGGAGTTGGGAGGGGGGGCGGAGGAGCATGAAGAGGAGTGAGGGATGGGGAACGGTGAGGGGGAGTGGGAGGGGGAGGGGGAGTACGGGAGTCCGCGGGAAGAGTGGGAGTGAGTGGAGGAGATAAGCGAAGCTGATAGGTCGATTCGAGCTGCTGCATTGTCCAATGAGAGGCGCCGACCGGACGAGGAGGAGGCGGTGGAGGAGGAATGGGGGATGGAGTGAGACGGAAGAGAGGAGAGCGATGGGAAATACGGGTGAATGGAAGAGGAGGTGGAGGAGGAAGAGGAAGGCGGCACGAGAGGAGGGTGGGGAGAGGGTCCAGCGGAGGACAGGGATGAGTTTCCAATGGCACGTCGGCTTGGCGAGGGCAGGCGAAGCGGGAGGAGGGAGGAGGAGGAGGAAGCTGCCGAGAAGCCGACACTGGAAGCAGAGAGACCTGTGCCTGACGAGGAGGCAACAGAGCAAGGAGAGCACAGCTGCTCCGAGTCATCCTCATTACAGCGCGGCTCGTTACAAGCTGCCGTTGCCCCCGCTGCTGCTACTGCTGCTGCTGGTGCTCTCGCCCTGCCGTTCGCCCTTCCACCGGTGACGCTGATTCCATGCCTGGGACTGCTGACGTGGACTTTGGGACTGCTGACGTGGATCTTGGGGCTGCTGACGTGGACTCTAGGGCTGCTGACGGGGTGCTGGGGGCTGCTATCAACGGGGAGTTGGAACGAAGGCAGCGTGGCAGAACGGGGAGTGAGCGACTTGGGGGTACCGGCAAGGGGGGTGCCGGCCTGAGGGGTGCCGGCAAGGGGGGTCCCGGAATTCGGCGTTCCTGTTAACGGGCTGCTTATGTTGCTCATGGAGCTCTCTATAGCGAGTATATCGCTCTCAGTGCCCTGTGCCGCGAGATTGCTGCTGCTGTTGCAACGAACACCCTTCTTCCCACTCCTCTCCTTCCCGCTCCCCTTCTTCCCACTCTTCTCCTTCCCACTCCCATCCTTGCTACTCCCCTTCCCCCATATCGTCAGCCTCCTTCCGCTAGAATCACCATCTTTACCCCCACCCTCGTTACTGTCACAATCTACATCTCCCTCCCCCCCCTTTGGAGTCTTTGCCTTTTCTCCTCCTAACCCTGCCCACCCCCCCTTGGGTGACTTACCAGCAGATGCTGACGTGGCAGTCTTGAACCTGAACAGAGAAGCCAACCCCTTCTTACCTCGGTAGCTCCCCTGGGAACTCCCCTGTGAAGAGTCACGCGGAAATTCACCTGAGAATCCACCTGGAAACTCTCCTGAATCCCTGCAGAGATCCTCCAGGTCAAAAGTCTCTCCCCCATCTGCCACACTTGCTATGCTCCCTCCTTTTCCTCCTGCTGTTGCTGCTGCTGCCGCAGCCACCGCAGCCGCCGCCGGATCCGGCTGTAGCAGAGAATCCGGTTGTAGCGGCGCTGGGACGTCTGAGAGGAGTCTGGCCGGCAGGCTGGTGCTGTTGCTGCTACAGGCGGTGCTGCCGCCGCCGCTACAGCCAATGCTGTTGCTGGAGTGAGCGGGTTTCAGCGACCGTGCACCAACCATGGCAGGAAAACTCATTCCTTCTACTGCCCCAAAAACATTCGTCTGTTCTGCGCTGAAGACGGCTTCTGCCGCCCGGAAATTGGATTCTTGTGCCGCCGCCGTTTCGCCTCGTGGATCTTCCAGCGAGAAGCTCGGCGGACGCCTGTTGCTGATGTCAGCAGAATCATCGTAGCCGGCTGTAGTGCTGGTTGCAACATCCCCCTTTGTGTAACTTTGATACAATTCAATACCACTGTGGAGGGATGGGGGATTAACTACTGCTTTTGCAGGAGTGCTAATTACACCCCATGGAGGGGGGTTTGAAGTGGGAGTGAAGCTTCTTGGCTGCTTCTGCTCCAGCGCAATAGCCACTGCTGGGACGACACTGCCAGCTGGCACTGGATCACTGGCAGCTGCTGCCACGTCAGCACGAGCACATGGTGACGCATCAGGTGTTGCCTGCACTGCTGCATTCTCCTTGTGCCAGGACTGCAAGTGCTTGCTGACGTCAGTGCTTTCATCGTATTGGTCCAGGGAGATGGATACGGACAAAGATCTGCCAGCCAGGCGCAAACCCTCTGTTCCGACCTGCTGCCCCTCCTGCCCCTCCTCCTCCTCCTCCTCCTGCTGCTGCCCCTCCTCCTGCTGCTGCTGCCCCTCCTGCTGCTGTTGCTCCTGTTCCTGCTCTTGTCGTTGCTGGGAGATCCTAACCTGATGCGCTTCACCCTGACGCGCCTCGCCCTGATGCGCCTCGCCCTGATGCGCCTCACCTTGATGCGCCTCGCCATCTTTCACTTCGGCCTGCACTGCAGGTACCACCTCCCCCCGTTGCAGCCTCTCCAGCTGCTCCTGCGCCTCCTCTATCTCCCGCTTCAGCGCCAACAGCTGCGCGTCCGCGTCAGCTTCCCCTCCCGCCCCCTTTTCCCCTCCCCTTTCCCCCACGCCTCCCCCCGTGCGTGCTTCCCCCGCTCCACAATATTTTTCCTGCGCGTTTTCCGAATCACCCTCAACCCTTTCGGCTGCCCGTTTTTGGGCCCTAGCTCTTTCAGCTGCCCGCTGCGCCTTTCTGTTCTCAGCGTCCTCCTGTTTTTTCACCCAGTCCCATTTCCCTTCTTTTTTCCCCTTCTTTTTCGATTTACCCTTTTTTTTCTTCGTTTTTCTCCCTCCGCCCTCTCCCTCAGCTTCGCCTTCACTTCCGCTCCCGGATTCGCTACTGTCACTATCGCAACTGTCACTCTCACCGTGTTCGTTAGAAGGCCGTTCTTCCACGCGGGTTTTGTACGCGTTAGGAGCATCATCATACACAATTAGATCCGAAGGCTCGTCGGCGATCCGCCCGCGAAAGCATCGAAACGTAGCGGCAAGCGATAGGCGGACGGAGGCGCGAAGCGCGTCGTCGTCGCAAAGCTCGGCATCTTTAAGAGAAGCAGCTTTGCCAGCGGCAATCACGGCGTCTTGAAACGCGCATCGGATCCGCCCGAGAAGCGCGCGCGCTTGGTCTTTACTTAGCGGCTCGTAGCAAATCAGAAAAAATACCGCCCCGTTATAGTCACTCCCGCGCAACGCTTCGGCCACTCCGCTGGCGGCGCGTTCAGACTGTTCGTCCGCGCCACCCGCGCCACCCGCGCCGCTCGCGCCGTTTGCGCTGTTCGCACGCTGCGCTTCCGCCGTCGACGTGGCAGCAGCGGAATTCAAAGGCTCGTCGCGCGCGCGCTGGATGAGCGCAAAGACCCGCCCGCAGCCCTGCGACGGAGGGGTTGGGGGAAGGAAAACGGGGAGAAGGGGGAGGAGGGGAGGGGGAGTTGGGAAGGAGAGAGAGAGCAAGGGGATGTGGGGAGAGGAGAAGGGGGGGAGAGAGTAGAGTGTTGGGTAAGGATTTAATTTCAAGTTGGCTCGGCGCAGTCGCATTGGACGAGAGCGACTCGGTCTGCAGAAGAGCGCAGCTCCGCCGCCCTCCGGAAAGAGAGAAAATAAAGTCCCGTAGGAGAAAATTCGCGACATTATCTTACGAGTGACAGCTGCGCGGCGAAAGGAGGGAGGTCTTTGATCGCCTCCGTGACAGCCGGTGCGAGCGCGGCCGTCTCGCGACCATAATCCGCCACGACGCGGCCCCGCCACGCCACGCCCGCGTAGCTCACTAACTCCTGCTCCATCGTCGCGACGATCACCTGCGACTCCACTCTGCGACGCCTGCGATTCCCCTCTGCGACCCCTGCTCGACTCCCTTGTGCGACGCTGCTTCGCGGCGAGCCAGCGCGCTGTCCTGCGACTCCCTCCGCGACAGCAGCAACGACAGCTGCGACTGATACGACGGTGCTTGGAGAGAGATGTTCGTGACGATCGTGAGAATAGAGTGCTCGTATCGAACGACGCGCCGTTCTCTTTTAACTCTTAATCGGTTTCTTAGAAATTGCACGGGTGAGTGGCAAGAGTCGTACTAACCCTCGCTCGGTATTACGGTATTCGGCGGCACCATGCGAGCTACGTGCATTGCTTCTTGAACGGCATACGAACAAAATCACGTCCCTCTGAGTTAGGACGACAGGTAGCTGAGGACGCTACTCGGAACGAGAACGCACTGTCGATGAAAATGGTCCCACAGTTGAGCCACCATTCAAAATAATTTGAGATAAGCGCGCGTAATCCGGCGATGGTGCATGGCCGTCATGTACACGCCGGCTGATGAGCTCATCTTCGCAGAACCTAACCAGTGTTACTTGCCTTTTCCCAAGCGTGGTTGACCTAACTAGTGAGACCAACCACACCACGCTGACGCGGCGAGCAAATCTGGGAGGTTAGTGCTTTCCCAGTGTTCCCTTCCCGCAACCTCCGCTGCTCGGAAAAAAATCAATGGTGGACATCGGAAACCTGGATGGTGGACGAACTTCAGGAAGGCGCCATCTCGGATATGGTTGACGGTGGCCGCATTAGGCTGGGCGTTACAGCGGGGATGTTTGATTTTCGCTCGTGTACTTGCTGGTTCGTCGTTCGTTACAGGAGTAGGCAGCAGAGCAGCAAGCCGCGCAGCTCAAACACCTGATCTTGATGGATTGGTGTGAACAGAAGCGGAGGGGGGAGGAAGCAAATGTACAGTGCGGGTACAGCTAAGTTTATGTTCTTCTGCACTTCCCCGTGGGGGACTTAGCGGACTTTGAACACGAGTGGACAAATCTAGGAAGGCTTCTCTGAATTTCATTCACCCCCGAAACCCAAGAACCCCCATTTTTCCAGAGAAACGAATCAAATATGGGTTCCAGGGTAGGTAGTACAGTGTTGACAAAAAGTTTTGACGTGAGGCACCGCACCGCATTGCACAGTGTACAGTGCTTTGCACATCAGTTACTTGATAACGACAAGCTGGGTGCATAAGAAACTGGGAGCAGATACCCTTCGTACACATGAATAAACGTGTAACGAGGTGACATCGCTGCTGGGTCATGTCAGAGAACTTCTGTGAAACAAATTCAGTAATTGGGTTAAATCCAAGTACAGTAAGACTTGGGCGCGACGGAATTACCAGAATCACACTTTTCAGAAGCATCTTTTACTGTAAATTGTCGCACCGAGGGCAACCACAGCAGATCCGGCTAGAAATGCGCGGATGGCACAGGTGGGGTGGGTCTCTTCCTTCAAGTTGCGGGTCTTAAGTGACAGTTGCACAACCGACAAGCAATGTTTCCTATCCGGCAAGCCAATGAGAGTTGCCCATGTGTCGTCGGAGCGGTCCTGGAAATGTTTATGAGAAGGTAAAACTTGCCACCTGTGAGCACCCTCACCTCTGAATCTAACACAGCATTGTCTCATATCTCATGCCTCGATTGGCTGCAGAAATTCCCTCCTCGTCATTGGCTTGGTGATTGCATTTTTTGGCTGGTGACGCGGCACACTCCTCAAGGGACTCGCCACGAATGTGGTCCCTCGAATCCGCAAGTCCCACTACAAGAGATCGAGATTTTGTAGCTAGGTGTAAGACATCATTATGTCCAGGAGACATGCAAGAGATATTAATTACTTTGTAATATGCCTACAACATGCATAATCTTTCACTTGTACCAGTTGGCCATTGCATGAATCACCACATATGTTGCCTCTGAATCATTAATCCCCAACACAAAATACTCTCTTTAATATAATAATATAATATAATTCATAATATAATATAATATAATATAATATAATTCCAAACACAAAATACTCTCTTTAAGCCAGTTGGGGCATACTTAAAGAGGCCCTCCAAGTTAATTATCGGAGGTAAAAAAAAAAAAAAAAAAAAAAAAAAAAAGGCGACGAAATCGTCTTAAGGTTGCGAAGCGTTTTGCATAAATGACTTGTTTTGTTCAACGTCTATTAGGTACTAAATATTGGTCGCGTTTTGCACTAATATCTGTTGAAGCGAACTTTCTATAGCGAGTATGAAACTAAGAGTTTTGAAAAACGCTTCCGCAGGACTCACATTGAAGACCTTTCAATACCTAAAGCAAGTTCAATCGACTGCGCTACCGCTGTCGTATATTAAAGGCGGCGTAAATTACTCGTAAGGTTCGATGCGGCGAATTACTCATTGTCTTAGGATTTGCGTCCCCCTTTTCCTCGCTCTCTTCTTCTTGCTTTCTTAAAGAGCTTGGTTCTAGTCACGCTCCACCTACCTTTTCAAATCACATTTGTGCTTGCTAGGGTATCCTGGGGTACACCATAAGGGGTATGACCCCAATTAGGTTTAGCATTTGTATCCCATCTCAACCCGATTCAATAATTCCCTCAAGCACATTTCTCGCATCGTTTCAGAGTAGGAAGTCGATCCTACTAGGGCCCACCTTTCCGCACTACCGAAGCACCTTAGCACTGCCTCCCTGCCCTGCCCTACTCGAAGCGCCTAGCGCTACCTTCCTGCCAGCGCGCTGGCTCGGTTTTTTCACTGTCGCGACCCCCCAACTGCCCTTACGTTTTTTGTCGCGCTGTCGTGATCCCCCCTGCCCGCGCCCCAGCTGCTCAGCACGCCGCTCGCGCTGCCCGCTAGCCCCTGCGCCCAGTGTCAAAATGTTGTATAGCTTATATTATGTAGGCTATAGTGGGGTAGCCCATAAGGGGTACAACCCAATTAGGGTTAGTACTTGTACCCAACTATTTCATAGTTCATTCATTCTCGTTCATTCTCTTGACATGGTATCAGCGTGGAGGTTCTGGAGGAGGCCAGCGGCAGCGACAGCAGCGTTGGAGCGAGACCCCTTCGCCCCAGCAGCTTTGTGAGTGGTTGTTTCAGCGTGGGGCGTCTGGGGGTAGTTTGAGCTACCCGTATGTCATTCCCACGGGTGACCGTGCTGGTCAGACATGCGGGAAGGCGCACACTCAGCACCGCTGCTTCTCCCGTCTCGACGACGCTTGGCGAGCTGAGTTTGGTGACGAGGTCGAGCGCCCCCACTGGGCAGAGCTGCTTAGGTCTGGTGTTGCGATCTTTGACCTAGACAATGATGCTATTCTTTCTGCTATGTATGCCTTGTCTGCTAGTGCTGAGGGTGACTGTTACCGGTCTGTGCCGCCTGACCCAGGTATAGACGCTGCTGCTCTAGGTGCCAGTGAGTCTGTTCTCCCTGGTACTGCGCCTGCTCAGGCCTTGCACACCTTCACGCTGGACTCAGGTGCCTCACGCTGTTTCTTTCATGTCAGCACCACTCTCGCTCCTCTTCCTGCACCTGTCCCGGTCCGACTGGCTGACCCCTCCGGGGGCCCGGTCGTTGCCCGTTCCTCCACTGTTCTCCCGTGTCCGGCGGTTCCGTCCGGCTCACTGTCAGGTCTTCACCTCCCCTCGTTCTCTACGAACTTGGTGAGTACCGCTGCCCTCCAGGATGCGATGGTCACTACCACCACTCCTGGGGGTCAGCGTGTGTCGATCTGCACTTGTACACGGACGGGTCGTCACCTGGCCACGTTCACTCGTCGGCCAGGGTCGAGTCTGTACACACTGCTACCGAGCCTCCTCACGTGCGTCTGCTCAGGTGTCCGTGTCAGGTCAGGCAGCACACCCTTGCTCGTGTCGCCTCCTGTCGCACCAGACTCTTCTGTGGCACCGCCGCCTGGGTCACCCCTCCATGCCACGCCTTCGTGGCATGCACTCCCGTCTCCTTGTCTTTGGTCTTCCCAGGTCTCTGCCTCCCCTCCCGCCCTCGCCTGCCCCGCCCTGCCTTCCTTGCGTCGAGGGGCGGCAGCGTGCCGCTCCTCACTCCTCCTCGTTTCCCCCGACGACTGCTCCCCTGCAGACTCTCCACATGGACGTGTGGGGCCCAGCCCGCGTCAGTAGACAGGGCCGCGAGCGCTACTTTTTGTTGGTTTTTGACGACTACACGCGGTACACCACGGTCTTCCCCTTGCGCAGCAAGGGTCAAGTCGTTGATATCTTGATCCCTTGGATCCGCGCAGTCCGTCTCCAGCTCCGCGACCGGTTCCGTGCAGACCTTCTTGTCCTGCGTCTGCACTCTGACAGAGGTGGTGAGTTCTCCTCCGACCTCCTGCGGGACTTTTGTCGTAGGGAGGGCATTCTCCAGTCATTCACGCTTCCGGACTCCCCTCAACAAAATCGGATTGCTGAGCGCCGCATTGGCTTAGTCATGGAGGTGGCTCGTACCTCCATGATCCATGCGGCTGCTCCCCATTTTCTGTGGCCGTTTGCGGTCCGGTACGCTGCGCATCAGCTCAACCTCTGGCCCCGTGTCTCCTTCCCGGAGACCTCTCCTACCCTGCGTTGGACGGGGAAGGTTGGCGATGCGTCGGTGTTCCGGGTCTAGGGTTCTCGTGCCTTTGTTCGCGATACGTCCGCGGACAAGCTCTCCGCCCGCGCTATTCCCTGCGTCTTCCTTGGCTTTACCCCTGACGCGCCTGGCTGGAAGTTTTACCACCCCACCTTGCGCCGTGTCTTTAGCTCTTAGGACGTCACGTTTGACGAGCCGGTTCCCTTTTACCGTCTCTTCCCCTACCGCTCTACCCCTCCCCCGCCCCCGCCGCTCTTCCTTGCTCCAGGTCCCCCTCCGGTAGACCCCCTCCCCCCCGAGGGTCCTGCTCCCTCAGGTGTGTCTCAGGTAGACCCTCTCCCTGGTACTGCGCCTGTTGAGGTAGTTGTCGGCTCAGGTGCTGCTCGAGGTGCTGCGTCTGGGGGTGCTGC